CTCTGCGGGCCATTCCGGAGCCAGCCCCTAGCGGTGTCTGTCGCACGCGGGACACGTCCTAGCGTTTGTTGGCAGGGCCGGTGAGGAGGGGGAGGGGGGGAAGAAGTGGAGGGAGGGGAGTTGAGTGACAGGCTTACGGGGCAGGCTGGGAATTGTAGTTCCTCGATCCCGTGGCCATAGCCATTTTGTAGTCGGGGGACTACAACTTCCAGAAGATCAAGGGGACGATTCTAAGGTGCCCCGGGAATAGGCGGCTTTCCCCGGGGCCGGGCGTCCTGGGGCACTCGTCCCCAGCAGCCGGCTGCAGGTAGACGTGAGGGCAGTGGCGGGGGCCAGCCTCCGGCGGCCGCGGGGGGAGCAGCAAGCTGGGGAAAGGGGGTGAGGTGGAGCGACCGAGCGTGCCATGCATTGAGCTAGGGAGCCTCTCTCAATTCCGCTCCTCGGCTCGGCGTGGGAGAGGTGCCTGAGGGGTTGCCCGGGAAGGGTTCACCGAGGCCTTTCGGGGGTCTCTCGGCGACGGGGCTGCGAGGTCCTCCTGATGGGGCTGGCGGCGGTCGGCGCCGGGGTAGGCGGGAGCCTGGTGGCTTAGCTGTGGGAGTTTTCGGCTGCCGCCTGGCGGGGAATTGCCCGAGGAGCCCTAAGTTGTATAAAAGCAGAGTCCATTTAAAGTTGGGCTGGATCGCCTCTCTCTCATTGGTTAGGGGGCTTGGAAAAAAGAGACTCGGCGAGCTCTCGCTGTGGTGCTGCCGCCGCCGCTGGAGTTGACTCTTCTGCTCGCACTGCTGCTGCAGCACAAACGTGACTTCCAACATTTATTTATCTTTGCCTTTTCTTTTCCAAGATGTAACTACAGATCAGACACTAAGGACCTTCACGTTTCGCTGATGTAGTTTTTGGAGGAAAAAGGGGGGGCAGTGAAGGGCGTCGGTTTCTTTTTTTTTTTGTGTGTGTGTGTGTTTCGGGGGAAATTTTCCATTATGGGTGTTTTACTAAAGTGAATTTTTTTTTTGTTTTGTTTTGTTTGTTTGCTTCGTTCGTCTTTGGCTCTTTTTTTTTCCTTCCCAATTTCGGATTTATTTCAAGGCGAATCGGGCTTTGGGGGAAGAGGAAGAAAAGTCGGATTACAAGAACAACCACCACCAACAACAATAAAAACCACCAGGATATTTTTTTGCAAATTTCTGACGGCTTTAAATTCATGAAGCAATTGTCCCCCTTTGCAATCAGCATTTGGATCTCAGAATGAGCAAGGAAAGACCCAAGAGGAATATCATTCAGAAGAAATACGTAAGTGCTCCTAACAACATATCCTTTGACTTGCAGTTTTAAGCAATGGCTGTGAATGTCAAGTTTACAGATAATTCTGCAGCCGAAGGGTTTTAAACACAGCGTCCGATAAGGCTGTTTCTTTTCTTTTCTGACAGAGGGCTTTTCAAGCAAAGTCGTGCCTGCCTAGTTTTGATGAAAAAACGTATTGGTGTAGAGATACTTCAAGTGAATACATTGACCTCGAATGACACAACCATAATCTAGTTTTAGATGAAAGGCAAGGGATTTTGGTGGAGCTTGGGAGTGGGGTGGGGGCTGTGGTACTGTAACTAAACTGCATTCTCGGGCAGGTTTGCCCCCATATTGCACTTTGCATGCAAAGAAGTGTGTTATTATTAATGTTTTTCGAAAATCGTGTAACGTGTGTGTGTGTTGGAAGCCCTTTAAGTTGCAGTCGAGTGTCCGATTATGGCGATCTCCTTCCTTGCACTGGCACATCAAATTTAATGTATGTGGTCGTTTTGGCTTATCTGGCTCACAACATAAACCAGTTGGGAATCATGTTACAGCGAATGCATTTGTTGGGATTGACTTTAATAATGGGACTGGTTTTGTTTAAAAATTCATGATTTCCAGTTTTAGGGGAAAAAGACATACAATATAGCTAATGTTTTTAAGTAGGCATGTGAATGCATATGTGACTACAAATAATTCTCCCTGTAACTGGTTTCCGAAATTGGGTGATTATTCAGAGATTTAAATGTTTTGGAATAGTTAAATTTGTATTATACATAGTACAGCTACGTTTTGATTGGCATGGGGAATGTTTGTTTTGTGTGTGGTTGCTTTTTTTTTTTTTAAGTTTGGGGGGAAGGAGGGTGGAAGGGGGACGGAGAGGGATTAGCCAAATATGCACTGGAGTGATTGGTGATTAGCTGCGTGCTTTAAATCAAAGAACCCATTTTTAAAAGGAGGCCAAGTGAACATACATTAGAAATAATGCAACGTTATAAGAAAGTTTTATTTGACTCGAGTCGACAAATTGGTGTTAATATTTTCCCTTTTTGAGCAGTGTGATGTGTGCAATGGGAGATGACCTTCGGGCACGGGTTTTGTAAATATATTTAATGTAAAAGCTGAATGCCTTATTGAGAGTGCTGATCCTAATGTAGACACGTAAACTTCAACTAAGAAAGAAATGCAAGGATAAATAATCAAGTTCTACTTAAAGAACTGTTCCCTTAAAAATTTAAGAATTAAAATACATCCGCATTGCAGAGGGCCGGGTAGAATGCAAAGGACTAGTTTAAATTCAGGCTGTAGAAACTGCATGGAGACACCCTTGCTTTGGAGCATGGACGCCTTCCCAGGGCACGTCCGATTCGGGTGCGGCGACAAAGCAAATGGGGTAGAACTTGGACTAGGACCGCCCCTCCGCCCCCATCCCAGACCTCGCTAAGTTGGAGAGCAGTGTGGGGTGGGATTTTTTGTTGCTGGTGGTCAGCGGATCGTGTCGAGTCCGGGCGTCCGGCCGCAAGCTCGTGGCTGGCCGTGGCCGCAGGAGGCGAGCACGAGTTAAGGTTCGGGGAGCAGAGCTCGTGCGCCGGACGAGCTCCAGACGGCTGTGAAGGGGAGGGCGTGTTGGGG